CTAATACTGAGGCAGCTGTTGGCTTCCCCTCCCCATGGGTTGCCCCACTGCAGCAGGCAGCTGGAGAGCTCTCTCCTCAGCCGGCTGTGCTCCCACCAAGATCCATGCTAATCACAGCCCGCCAGCAAGAAGGGACAAACAGGACAGTCGCAGTTGCACCAGTGCATGCAAAAGCACAAGGAAACAATTATTGCCCAAACACAGAGATAATTGTTAGTTTATTTTCAAACTTGGAGTGAAACAATAACGTGGGACACAAGAACAGTAATACAAACAAGATGTAGGAGCTGTCCGTTTCACCCAACACAAATTCATAGGATTTTTTTTTTTTCCCCCCAGGAACTCCATGCTCATTTGAACGGCTGTATCAGTTCTGCCACAATGAAGAAACTTATGGCCCAGAAGCCAAACCTTCAGATCCAGAACGGGATGACCATGATTGACAAAGGAAAGAAAAGAACCTTAGATGAGTGAGTATACACGTCTAGGTGTGTGTGATGAACATTTACTGAGTGTCTTTAATTAAGTTCAAAACAGAGAAATGTACAGCCTTATTCAGTGACTGCAGAAAATACATATTCAAGTTTCAGTTACAGTGCAGTCTGTTAGATTTTTTGATACTTGTATCTCTGCAATAACTTCTTAGATGTTTGCAAACTAAATGGAAATGTCATGTTGGTTAATTCCAGTTTTAAGGGATTGAACATTTTTGTTTGTAGCATATGCTCTTCAGAGAAAATTGACTTGTATAGTTTCCTTTTTTTGGAAACGTCATGTTTTCCTTTGTGCTTCAAAAAGTTCTGTGGTAAATAATAATTTCTGTTGCAAATGCATTGTTAACATCGAAAATCGGAGATCACCATCCAGATGGTCTTTTATTAAAGGTACAAGCTGGTTAATTGAGCATAGTGAGTACATGTTTTCAAAGTGTAAACTTTTCTTTGAATAGTCATTTTACTGTTCAAAGTTTGTACAACTAATTTTTTAACTTTTTATTTTAGATGTTTTCAGATGTTTCAGATCATCTATCAGATTACCACTAGGACTGAAGATATTTTACTGGTAAGTTAATTAAAAGTTCACTTAAAACAACCAAGTAGTACACAAAGTCAAAATGAGTTGAATTAACAGCACTGGGTTCCAGGTAACAATATCAACAATGGTTGCTTCAATTGGAGGTCAGACTTGTTATTGTAAAACACATTAATGTACAAACACAGGGTTTTATATAGGTTTTACATTTAATTTTTGTTAAAGCAATGAGCTTCCAGTGTGGTGGTCATTATGACCACTCAGAGGCTTGGACTGATAATGTCTTAAAAATGTGGTGTCTGTTCATTGTTACCCAAAGCTTTGATTTTCCGTAGTCTTTCGTTTCTCGTTTGGTTCGTTACGTACCAAAACTACAGAACTAGAATTGCCCTCTGTTCACCTCAGAGTACAAAACTGTCAAGGAGAACTGTTGTGTGATCAAAATAGGGAGCAGAAAGTGGTGTAACATCCTCTTCTTTCCCCCTGCAGAGGGGTTTTTAGGCAGCCTGTTAAACTTGAAGGAAGGTACCGTGGCTGTGAAAGGGGTTATGACTAAGGGGCATTCTTGGTCAGATGCGGAAATTCTCCTTTGTCCTGACTCTCCTTGGTATCACTGGGGGTACCCTTGGTGGGGCAGTATTTCCAGAGACGGAAGGTGCTAAAAACACATGGGGCGCAAATTTTTGCAAGTGTTTCACACCAAAAAACAACTGGGACTTTTAGCTGTAAAGGAAAATATAACCAGTTATAAGCATGACTTCAATGATGTTGAACATGCTGTTTCTTAATCAGATAACTAAAGATGTTATTAAAGAATTTGCTGATGATGGTGTCAAGTATCTGGAGTTGAGGAGCACTCCTAGAGAAGAAAAGTCCACAGGTACAGTCTGTTCTGGTGTTTAATTTGCAAGTCTGATGTGCTATAAAGGTAAGACTGTGGTATTAACAAGTAAAGTCAAACGTAGCTGGTTCAATAAAAATACCCTTTAAATATAAAAGCAAAGATTTAATCATATAAAACATGTCACCTTACTGTTAGATTTTTGAGGACAAAAATGTGTTGGTTATAACTCTGCTACCCCAGAATTTGTGTTACTTGCTTTAGTATGATGTCTGAGTCTGCTAATATTTTTAAGTTGATGTATTTTCTTTTTGTTACTTCACTTTTAATTTTCTTTTAGATGTGGTTTAATAGAAACACAGAAGTCCTGGTGCTACTCTCTGGTTCACACTAAATTAGTTTCTTACTTCCAGATGCTTAGGAGGAGGCTTAATTCAAATGTATGCTTCAAAATAAAGCTATGTTTATAAACAGAACTGTATAGATTAGAAGATTATGGACTAAAGTCAAAGGTGCAAAATTAAATTTAAAAGGCTAGAGAGCTGGGTCTGCAACATAATACAATTAATTCAAATATGTTTATTCCAAATATGTAATGTGTTTGTAGGTATGACCAAAAGGATGTATGTTGAAACTATACTTGAGGGTATAAAGCAGTGTAAAGAAGAAGGCTTGGATATAGATGTAAGGTAAATAAAGCCCATGGAATACGTCTGTTTCAAGGTTTTGTGTAGTCTGATGCTCAGTCATGGTTTGCAGAGAGGTTTACAAACCATCAGTGTAGGATAAGATATCGTGCTTAAACTCAATTACATGGATGGAAGCAGGTAATTCATATGGAAACGTGAATTTTTATCTTCCTTTTTACCAATCGAGAATGAAACTGGGTAAAGCTTTTCAGCTCTAAGACTGTCCATTCTCTGCAACATGTTTGGGAAAAGCAGTGGTTTTGATGGAAATTGCATTAAAGCTCCGTTTTCACAGTCTAGCTTCATTGCAAATATCTTGCTTGATAAGCTGTACAAGCAACCTGCTGGAAAGGAGAGATAGTCCAGTCCTGACCAGCAGAAAACTTTCCGAAGGTGTTGGTGGTTGCTTGGAGGCAGTCTGCTTGCCTGTCTTTTATTCTCAGTAGCAACCCTTGTTAGATTTATTTGTGGAAGCTGAAGAGTTCTCATTCTTGATGTGTGCGCCTCTGAGAGGTTGCTTGCCTGATAGTGCGGGCAGCAGATCCGCAGCGTGTTGTTCCCTGCCCTCCCTCTCACCATGGCTATCGCATTTTGCAGGCTAACGTATTTGTCTGATCTGTGTCCCTCTGCACTGTGGTACCTCCAGTCCTTGAGCAGCTTCCTATACAAATACTCTTTATACTCAGCCATGAAGGATGTGATGAGCCATTTTTGTTGGTGTCAGATTTGTTGGTGTCCTGGCATTACAGCTAGTGTTTAACATCACATGTGCATTTCTCTCCTAGACTGTTAATAGCAATAAATAGAAGCGGTGGCCCGGCAGTTGCTAAGCAGACTGTTAAACTCGCTGAAGAGTTCCTTCTTTCCACTGATGGGCTTGTAGTAGGACTTGACCTCAGTGGTGATCCCACTGTAAGTTTTTGTTTTATTTAGGTCTGTTCTTGAAGATAAACATTTAATGTTGTGTAACAGCAAGTGGTTCTAATCGTACTTTGTTCTTACACGTTTTTGTCCTATGTTTGTTGCTAGTTTGAATGGATTGCTCGTAATCTTGATACCAGGTTAATCCCAGTGCTGTAAGGGATAGATACTCTAACAAAGAATACATAGATTACTGGAAAAAGAGCCACTGAATAGTAGTGTGTTATCTAGGAAGTGTTTGCTACTGAATTGTCCCAGTCAGACAAGAGACAACTTAAATTTAACATTGCAAGTTGACACTAGTTTAAATTCTGCTTAGACGCACCAAATGCTTATTGTGTGTTAAGAAAGCAAAAATGATTTAGGATGGCTGTCAAGTTGAAACAAAACAGCTCCAGGTAATAGCTGTAGAAGGGATATCAAAACTGAGACAATTGGCTTGTCAGTGTGGGACGTCATCTGAACCTCTGATATTTGACCAATTTGTCTAAATCGTGCCCATACGGCACAACATTATGTGACTTGCTGCATTCAGAACTGAAGTAATGGGAAAAGAAAAATAATTCCATGCATTTTAATTAATTATTTTGATATTGCTAGACTGCTCCATTATCGTTAATAGGAGTTTTGTAAAACATGCTGTAGGATGGTGATGTGTTTCTGTTTTCAAGGCAGGACATGGTCAAGATTTTTTGGAACCACTCTCAGAAGCAAAAAAAGCAGGTCTAAAGCTGGCACTGCATCTTTCAGAGGTAAGATTTTTCTTTACTTCGGTCCTCCTCTGTAATTCACAGAATCACAGAATGTTAGA